ATTTACCCAGAATGCTTTGCATGTAAATAAAATGGCCCCATCCGTGTAATATATTTTTAAACTTTTAGTTTAAAAATTACAAAAATTGAACACCCTACAGTATTTTTTTAGTATTTAATTTACAGTTAAAGTATATGTTTATCATATAAAGTTTAATGTTACAACTAATCCGGGATCCCTTTAAGAACAGCTATAAAAGATGTTTCAATCACCTGCTGCATAAAAATGAAAGGCAGGCAATAATGTTGTTGCCGGTGTATGTGTGTGCGTGTCTGTTGGCAAAATATCCCATAATCCTCTGGGCAGACCTGAGTGAATGTTTCAGGAAGTAATCAGTGTCCGTACATCTGCAGCTGATCAACGTTTGGAGTCAACCCGATTGAAGATGGCCACCACAGCCAACTGACTTTAGAAAACACAAGCATGGTTAGAATTAGTGGATGCTACTTTTATTGAACTAAAATATGGTGTGGTAGTAGCTGAGAGTCATCTCCAACATGTCTGAGTTACAGTTTTTTGAATTCAATTCAATTTAATTAAAAATGTAATTTATACAAGTGATTGAACTTAAAATCTTTACTTTTTTTATACTCAAGAGTTTTCTCTGAATACTGATGGTTGTGACTGTTCACCAATAATAAATAAATAGATTATTTTATACTGAGCTTTGAATTAAAAAGTAAGTTTATATTAGAAGTGTTGCAGTAGTGAATACAGTAACCTGCCTCTAACTTTAATTTATTCCTGTTTTACAGAGGAGTTGAACCAAGGATGGACAGAAGAGGATGTTTTAACGTTTGAACTTTTTGCACTTTTTCAGTTTTCAGCCAAAACAATCTGATTCAGTGTTTGTCTTGACATATCACACGCATCCAAACGATGCATTGGTTTTAAATTAGATGGGAATTTTTCTTATTCTGTGATCGTTTTCTAAAAGGGACACAGATGAGTTCAGGGCTGCTTTGTTAAAAACAAATCTGATATGACTGTTGATGAAACAGGGTTCCTCTGGAACGCAGCAGAGAACAGTTTATAAAGAAAGGAACAAAAGCCACTACAAGTTTAAATGTAATTATTATTCCATGCATGTGTCATAGTTTTCTTTTTTTTACATTTTACCCAGTTACTGACATCAAACAAGAAACAGTCAATAAAAGCTATTTTGTATAAAACAGTGGCTCTTTGTTTCTGGTTTTGGAGTTTTTCAGCTTATAAATGTGGTTTATCATTGGTCCACAGGATTGTGTGCCTTTATTTTCTTTCAGTATTTGTGTAGCCTAAAATTCATTTTGCCAAAATTTAGTCTCTCATTAGAGATGTTACCATAATGCTCAAAAATCTGCCAGAAACAATTTAGACATCGTAGAAAAGTTGCTCCATTTAACAATAAGTACTGTAAATATTGGAAAAGCTACGCTGAGTAAAGTTAATCACCACCACGGCATCATCATGCTAGAATAGCTGTGCAGTTTAAAATGGATTACTGTAGTTATATAT